TAGTTGGCAGGAGAAAGAAACCAACAAAGACGAGTTTGAAGTCAAAGGTTAAAGAAAATCTTGCTGGCAACTTAAGGCCTTGAAGGTTGGCGACTTATTAGATGAGGATACCCAAAATGGAAGGGCCAGAGGCATGGAATGGGCTAGGTTTCGGCAGGTACAAGGTTGGAGGCCAAGGCCGGCGTAAGTAACATGGGAGTTCTGTTTGTACAAAAGATAAAAAACCATGAAAAAGAATAAAGCGAACAATAAAAGTTAATCTCAATCCGGCAATCAGAAAGATAGTCAAAAGAAAGGCCAAAGGAGGTAAGAAGGAAGCCAGCCACTTAAAGTTAAAGACTTCAGTATAAGGTAAAGAAGGTTTATGATGTGTCGATGAAGCAACGGGTACAGATTCAGATGAACACGGAGCTACTTCTCTCTCCACGCTCTACAAAGGGACAAGACGCCCTCAAGAAGGAGTACAGCTGAGGATCTTGGATTTCATACCCACCTAGTCTCATCTCTTACAATACTTGGAAAGGACGATATTAATATTATGCCAGATTGATGGACACAGACCTGGGATAACTGCCGGGATTGGATCATAGGCTGCCTCTGATTTGCTTGCAAATTGTCTGAAGAGCCACGTCCCTGGTCAATGATCTCGCCTAGCAGCGGCCGGTCAGAATTAGCGTATAAGACTTGTTCATGGATGGGCTGCTGTCGATCAAAAGGTTGCTTGTTAAAGTGAGGAAGCTTGTAAAGTGGACAATAAGTTGATTGGAAACAGAATATAATACATATTCAGTCTCGTATTAACCCACATCGAACTGCATGGAGCCACGAAGAGAGATCATTATGGTGAAGATGCATTGCAATAGATGACAGGGCGTGTGCAGAGCATGCCATTTATGACAAGTTGACAGCAATCGTCAAAAAGCTTGAGTCTTACCATAATCATTCATTGATGAACCCTGAAGAGGAAGAAGACAGTGAACATTGGTAATAAGGTAGATGCAATAGCATGTGCACAGAGGTATCAACTTGATCATTTGTCCAAGGAGCAATATAACGTACCACAACCAATCAATCAATTCATCAATTGCGGCTACATCTTGGAGAGCTTGCTCTGTAACAATTGGCTGATAGTGGAGGTCTGTATTTCAACTGCATAAACCCAATAATAGTCAAGTACGGAAGAATTAACCATCGGGACCGTCCCGAGCCCCAGGTTCGACTTTTACGGGGTCCGATGGCCTTTGTTGAGCACGGAACTTTCTTGTAAACGGCTCCTTGTCGTCATCGGGATGGAGTTCCAATGAAAGTCTGAAACTCGTAACTGTTGATGCCCATAGCAACGGGCCCAGTGCAGACAAGTAAGAATTCCAATCAACCTGGAGGAGATTAGTATGTCCAATAGAGCCTGTGCTAGAGATCTAGCCTTCTGAATCTGCAAACCCGCGTTCCGTTCTTGTACAATTGCAGGTTGCCCGGGGATATGATACTTGCGTGCTGTCGGTTATCGTCAATTGTGATATTAAAAGAGCTTCGCTGCTGGTGCTAATGACACCGATGCCACTGCTCCATATTCGATCCTCCCCTTGACTCCGTCCATTTCTTTATCCCTGACACCCGACCGTGCAATTTGTCGTGTTGAACGCTACTATACCAATTGTCCCAAGCCCAAGAAGTAGTTGCTCGGACGTGTGTCCAGTCAACGACCTCTTGTTCGAGCTTTACTGGTAGGGCTTACTACATGGTCTTGCATATGCGTATTGCAGTTTCTTTCCCTGCCTTTGGCGTCTGTGATGCCGATCTTAATCCTCTTCTGTCCCGAGGCATAATAAATATCCGATACCCCTTTGTCGACTTTAGAGACACCTTAACCCGCCATCACGATAACCGAATAGAAAACGTATCAACTCTCCCTACCTCCCTCCGGCTCTTGCTACTGCTCCTGCTCTACCGATAAACCCTGACGACACGCGGCTTCTGGAAAACACGAAATCTTTCTTCAATCCTTGCTCTGTTTACGACCAGCAGCTTCTCCATCGGTCGTTTAATCACCCCTGTCACGCGTTGGCCCTTCGCTGTCCAGTCGGTACCCGTGAGAATTGGAGAACTGGATGTGTAATTTTACCCTGGCTTTGCCCGTGCCTGTCCCGCCAACCACTGACTGAATCCAGGCATCAGGTCGCCCCATCGCCGTTGGAAACCCCCTGGAAATCATTCATCCATTGAATTTCCCCTTCCCGTCTTGTCGCCGTCAACTTTTTAATTAATCTAATTCCTTCCCCTCCTTGTCTGATCTCATCTTGTCTTGCTGTCCTGTCTTCTGTCTTTTGCTACCCCTCGATAACTGTTTATGTTCGATCTTCACCTTTTCTGTTATTCGCTCTCTCAACCATTGTCCCTCGGCCGCAGCGCAGCCCAGTCGCAGTTCCTGGCTGATCCATTATCGAGCCCCAATTTCCAGGCCAAGCTATCCCCGAGATATCGTGTGGGACCTCATCTCTCGTGTTTGTGAATCTGTGTAAGTGCAGATCATTGTTCACAGACACAACGTCACTGTCAAAAGTCACAAGGTTGATCTTGCGAGGATCGATCGACTATTGTATTACTGCGCATCGATAAATCAAGTTCGAGCTCTATCACACTCTGCACTCTCTTTTGTTTAGCACTGCAGCAGCATAGCATAGCATAGCATGATGGCTACCACCAACGACCAGACACCGTCATTTCGCTGCGACTCCCCGCCTCCAGACGCTCTCCCAACACCAGCTATCGGCGCATGCCCGGAGCTCTCTCGCTGCTTGTCGACGACGTCCTCTTGGTCGCATGGCAGTAACGATGCCAATCCTCGGGATGCTCTAGGCATCGAGAAATTCAACCGCCACTCCACCGGAAGTCTCGACACTAGCACTCTGAAAAATCGCCATTCAGATATCTCGGCCATTTCTCGTCACTCCAGTTATAACTTTGACGGCAGGAGTCGCCGCCGGGGATACATGCGGCCGCAAGGAACTGATTTTGCCGCCAGCGCCCGATCCCGCGAGAGTGTGATGAGCCTAGGCAGCATCGCACATCTGCAGTACTATTTTGCTCGAACGGGCCTGCTTGACGGCAAGGGTGGTCAACTGGCTAGGAAGAAGCAGCAGCGCGCCACCCTGGATCTCTCTTCCTTGGATACGAATGTCGAGGCTTTGCCAAAGATCGTTGGCTCGGATTTTGACTCGTCATATGCCTCTACCGACAGCAGCCCAGATTTCAGCTCCCAGGGCTTCGGCACCGACCTTGTTGAGTCTCCCATCGAAGAGCTGGATGATTACTATGAGGACAACTTCAGCGATCTCGGGGGTGATATGCTTCCCCCAACTGTGAGTACGTATCACCACCGTGAGAAGGTGGTTCCAAAGCCACCGACCATTCTGGAGCTCAAGTCAGAACTCGAGCAAACGCTTGGCGACGCCAAGAAGGCATTGAATGAAGTTGAGGCGCGAAGGACCGGTACTTATGAGGCACCGTCTGGTGCCCCCGATTATCCCAACATGCCAGCGGAAAACACGCAAGGATGGTTTGAGCTCCAAGGAATGCATATTCTCGATGTTGTTACGCTAGCAATCCGCGCGGCAAAAATCTACTACACAGCACATGAACTGCCCGACCGTCTTGACTCTATTAAACCCGAGAAGCAAGTCAGAGCAGACCTGTTAGCTGTCATGGAAACATTAAGGCAGATGGCCACCCGAAATTTCAAAGAAGGCATGAGGGAAGAGGAGATCAAAACGATGAATGACTGGGTCGAGAGTGTCTTCGACATTTTGAAGCAGGAACAGGAGATCGAAGACGCGGAGAGGGCTGAGCGGGTTGGCTGGACATGGCTCAAGGGCGACTGGACTGGTCGCGAATTAGAGCGGGAACGAGCGTTTCTCATGTCCATGGACACAGCTTCTGATCCTTTACCAGAATGGAAGTCAATGTCGCCTGCAGATGCGAAGCCTACTCCTTTCCTCGAGGCCATGCAGAATGGTGTGCGACTGGTTAAACTTCACAATGCCGTTGTGCACAAATCACGAAGACGATTTGGCGCCATTGGAAGCTTCCATACCGATACCCAGAAGCCCTACCGTTGCGCTGATAATTTACGATATTGGGTCAAAGCTGCCGAACTGCGCTTTGAGGTCATGTTGAAGGTCGATGTTCTCGGAGTCCAGTACAACACATCTCCTCAGGTCTGGGTTGATTTCGAGACCGCCATTCTCAAGTGGTCTCGCCATGTGCGCGAGGAGATCACTCGCGAGCTTGAGTTATAGCAAGCGAATCTTGCACACTCCTTTTCTTTCTGAAGTGACGAGGGACATGCCCAGCTCGATTCACTAATACCCTAATGATTGGACGTTGAGGACTACACAGGAGTTCACTTTGCTGGTTTTCACTTTTATTTTCTTTGTTTTCCCTTTACTTTTTTACCCTGGAAAGATATCATCTGAAATTGCATATTGCGTAAAGAGCACACCGACCTCTTTGGTTGCACCGACATGACGAAAGCGCTTTAAAGCATGTTCTTTTATATTCACCTTTTCAACACCACGGGTTTGGAGAGCCCGAACCCCCTTTCCTTCTTAGACAGAACCCCCACTATATTCTAGCATATACCCATTGCATAGGCTTTAACGCGGATGAAGACATGTTCAGCTTCAAGCTGTTAGACTGAATAAATAAAGTAAATACACTATACTTATCACCAATGTTTCTCTTCTCTGACGTCTAAACTTGGATCAAAAAGGGTTTACTGGGACTGGTCACATCTGCAAAATGAAGGTTTTTGATAAATTAAAATAGTTTTTCCAATTTTTTCCTCCAAATATATGTTTGTCCAGGTATTCATACCAATAGGGCCTAAACGAAAATCAGAAGCTAAAACTACCTTACCGTGAACTAACCCAAAACCATGACAACTACCAAACTCCGTTACAAGTATAGATATCACAACATATTATTTCCACCCTTTGCAATCCTTACTCAATATCGATCTTGTGAATCTCAGTCCACTCTTTCTCAGCTTTGGGCACAGTGATGGCTAGGACACCGTCCTCCATCTTGGCGGTGATACCCAGACCGTCAACCTCGTCGCGCTCATCTGCTCCCACGGGTGGCAGAGCCACGGTACGTTCAAACATGCCGACCTTGCGCTCGCTAGAGCTGAGAGTGCTGAGGAAGGCCTCATCACCAGGGCGGTGAACAACACCGGCGATCTTAAGAAGTTTGCGGTCGGCGTCCCAGTTCACGCCAATGTCCTCCTTCTTTGCGCCGGGAAGGGCGACGTGGATAACATACGACTTCTCGGTGTTGAAGACGTCGATAGGTGGGTTGAAAGAGGAGTCGGATGAGTCGTTTGTGTTTTGCTCTTGCTTCTGGTTCTCTTGGAACTGCTCACGCATGTTGCGAAAGAAAGGGTGACTGCCCCATCCGCGGAACAGAGCAGGAAGGTCAAAAGGTCCAGCGTAGGGAGGAGGAGGAGGGCCATGGTGAGGACCGTGGTGAGGGCCATGGGGGAAGCCACCGCGGCCTCGACCTCGACCGCATCGAGGGCCTCCACGGCCACGACCACGACCTCGCCCAGCCCATTCAGGACGACCTCCGCACTGATTCTCCTCAGGAGTAACTTCTTCGGGGTCAGGGACATTCAAGGTCTCGTCAGACTCATGACTTTCACTGCTGGTAGCTCGCTGAGTCTCGTTTGCTTGCTGACGTTGCTCGTTGTGGGTTCGGCTATCGGGAGCACCCTCACCAGAGAACCAAGGACCCCAGACAAAGCCATCAGCCTCGGGAGGGGGAGGAGGTCCTCGGGGGCCATGTCCATGTCCATGGGGGTGAGGAGGGTGAGGGCCAGCTGGCGAACCGAAGGGGAAACCAGCCATGAAAGAGGGGAATGGAGTCTCAGTCTGGTGATCTACTCCACGGCCAGTTGCTTCGTTGGGGTCAAAGTGCTGAAGAAAGTCCCAGAAGTTCGCGTTGTTGAATGGGTTCGGTTGTCGACTCATTTTGTGCAATGTATACTTATCAAGTAATGTTTGTAGTAATAATAATAGTGAGGAGATGTCAAGAGTGTTTATATGTGCAGATGATGTAGAGGAAAGCTGGTGGTAAGTATCGTATCATGTCGACATAGCATGCGATTTATATATAAAAAATTCTCCATTGAGACGGGCTGCCAGATGGGGCATCTCATCCGCTAGGAGGCGAGATCTAGGCACATGCGTAACCCGCATCGTAACCTTGACTAGGCACAAAAGACACACGTACCAAACTTGCATGAATTAATCGAACCATTTGGATCAGCGGAGGAGGCAAAAGCGTTTGATTCGGGACATTCTTGTTGCCGCGCGGCCATCGCACACTCACATCTACTTGAAATCGCCTTCAGAATAAGGTCCTGGGGTTGCATGAGGGAGTATGATCGGTCCCGGGACCAATAAAACACCAGGGGCGAATAAAATGGGCCACACTCCGAGTCCGTTAACTCGGCGCCGACTTGTGTTCTCGCACTATCGTAATGTGCGAATGGCGACTTTGCAAACAATAATCTATCCGAGCTTATTGGAAGACAAAAGCAGCTCAAAGAATTAATGAGCATCGATTCGCTTGGAAGAGAAGATGCACTAATTTCAGCTGCTGAGTCATTCAGCAATAGTACGCATCATCGCCACATCAGATTAGATCAATCAGTCTGCCAGCAGCCGCGTGGCCTCTAATTAATTGTCTACTGGGCTCTGAGATTAAGCTTGACATTAACAAGATTTGCCTGAGCACTTGACAGGCGTGCTGTGTGAAAGACAGTTTGCCTTTCAAAACCAATTGAATCTGAGATTCAGTTTCAACATGTCTCTTCCTCTCAGAAAGGTTTGTTCTTGAAACTTCAATTTTTTAGCAAATAGTCAAATTAGTGAATAGTTTCTAAAAGCTATTGTTGTTATATTCTTCTTTCTTTTCCAAGACGTTGAAAGATTTCTACTTTTGGCCACCGCTGCTTGAGTCTGGAGTGCCTCAATTGCCCACTTACACGGCTGGTCTACGTCACCTGTGCCGTCAACCATTTCGCACGCGCGGAAGCACACGAATATCAATGTTGATTCAACATATCAATGCACTTGTCTGACTCATTGAAACTAAATGATACCGAATTATTCATGGCATAGACATAGTCTAGGGTCTTTACCCAGCCAGCAACCACTTTAGACCCTCGACGGCATCCCGCTCACGCTTCTGTGATATCTCGAGTTCTGGAAATATAGCCCAAAACGCATGAGGCAGACCAGGGTAGATGTCAATCTTTGTAGGTACTCCCTCGTCCTTGTAGACTTGCTCAAGCACAATACTGCAGTCTCTGACAGGGTCCATCCCACAAGCCTGAAAGTAAGTCTTGGGAAGGCCTGCATGACTGGGGAATGCAACCGGAAATGCGAGAGGGCTCTTTGGGTCAGGCCTATATTTGGCTGTGAATCTTGTCAGTAGAGCCTAGTTATGGGAGAATGGCAGGGCATACAGTGAACGAATTTCATCGACTCTGCGTTAAACACGGGGACCTTGGCATTCTGTTCGTAACTGATGAAGTAATCCTTGTACTTTTCAGGCACCGTCTGGTCGTTCACACCAGAAGTGATTGGAGCATAAACACCCGTCAGGGGGTGCAAGGTCTCGGCTTCGCTATATAGATGGGAGATAGTCAAAGAGATATCGGCGCCTGAGCTGGTACCACCAATGATGAAGCCTTTGGACGGGTTGATTCCAAGCTTGTCCACACTTTGAGATACCTTTCTGGGTTCAGCATTGCCACTTTCATCTCTGGAATCAAGCTTTACTCACCCAAACAGTAGCATCAAAGGCATCGTTGATAGCTTGGGGGAACACATGTTCAGGAGCGTGGCGGTAATCAATATTTACAGCAATGCCTCCAAGCTTTGTGAACTCGGCACATAGTCCTGCTTCAGTGTCAAGGTCACCTGTAACGAAGCCACCACCGTGAAAGACGACAAGCCCAGGACGTCCGTCAGTTGGCACATCACCGTCAGGGACGTATGATCTGGCGTCAACTTCAAAACCATCTCTCAGAGGAATCTTGAAGTCTTTCGTGTGATACGAAAGTGTGTCTGGATCAGGCTTGGGCCGATATTGTTTCACCTGAGCCATCATTTCGCGAAAAGATTCCAGGTCAGTGTTCATATCCCATCCATTAAGCATTGGGTTATGAGCTCTGATGATCTGAAGTTTGTAAACAACTTGTGATGTTTAAGAGTATTTGACAACTTACGGGCTCAAATTCTGGATGAACATTTCCAAGAGCACGAATTTCCTCAATGGTAAGCATGGTTAGGTTGCTGAATAAGATAGAATGAAGACTGTGTGTTTATGCCTGGTGATTTTGCTCTGAGTCCGGAAACCTTTGGCTTTATAGAACTCCAGCTGATTATCTGTTGGGAGGAAGACAGGGTATTTCTCAACATTCATATCCAGACAAAGCGTATTACATCTCAGATTCATTGGGACATGGTGATTGACACACGCAACTAGTGGCTCGAGCAACAAAGTGGTATGGAGTTAGGAGCCCTAGCAAACCAACAGAGGAAATGGGTTAGTAAATTGATTGGATACAGCTGCATCTTCCCCTTCAAGTCACAGGATATCTCACCAGGCGGGTGAGAATATGCCCTTGTCGCCGGCGTAAATCCGTAAGGCCCAGAGAACGGGTGGGCCCGCGGTGCCAATTCCCGGAAGACACCGGCTCCAAGTTACAGGGACCTATTCCCCAGATTGGCAATTTCATAAACATCAAGACCGATGTGTTAACACCGCGATGTCGAGCTGAATATGTTCGCACCCAGGTCCGATAACCAGCATTATAGTAATGGATCTCTTTACCTCATTGTAATTACCGCGTACTTGAAAAGAAATGACGTCAGAATTGGAGCGCGAAGTCCTCGCGACTCCACGTGAGCCATGAACAATGATTGGTCAGCTGCCTAGGCAGAGCTTAGAAATCTGCTCTCCGGCGCATTTCGCCATTGGATACGAATGGCCGAATTCAGTTCAACTTAGCCGGATGATCTATTTTCTTTGACTTGTTAATTCACAACCACGAATTAAAATCAGACACAATGGACGCTGCTCAAACAACAATTTGTATGTTGTCGTCTCCGAAACACTCAATTGGTCTTCATTTCATACTGACTTGGCCCCAAAGCTTCGCCCGTGAGCGCCGCCGCAAATGTTGCGTCCCCTTCCACTACAGATGCCAGCAAGCCCAAGGTGAGCTTCTCCTGGACCAAAACGACTCCCAATTGCTATTCTAACACCCCTTCAAGCCCTGCTGTGTGTGCAAGGACGAGAAGGCCAAGCGTGATGAGTGCATGCTCTTCTCTAACGCAAAAGATCCTGCCGCCGACTGCAAATCCCTAATCGACCAGTACCGAGCATGCATGTCAGGATTTGGATACCAGGTGTAAAAGAATCAAGACTTGACACGACGGAATGGTTTCGGCCATAGAATATGACCGTGTACAACAGATGCGATAAATATAGAATAAAGGGCAATCCATGCATGTTCCTCTCTGGAGAGTATCGTTGATATTGATGGTCAGCAGTGGCGTGATATGTCCTCTTCGTTTGCAGAAGGTTGCGCATCCCTCAAAATATGTCCTTGATTACCGCCGTGTCAACGTGAGTAGTGAGAAAGACTCATAAATACTTTAGAGCTCGTAGATTGTGAGTGCCTGTTATGCACTCAGACGCTGTTCATTCCCACTGACCCGCCTCAAACTCCCAAGAATGAAATGTCCCAACATGTAACATGGCCGTCAGTTGCAGTCATTTGGCCTTTTTTACATCCTCTTCCCTGCCCCGAAAGCCTATTTCCATCATACTCTCAACCTCCTGGGTCTTGGTGATTAGCCGAGAAACGAGTGTTTCCATATGCTGCTCAATGCCCTTCCTGCGCTCTACTGTTTCAACAATCCTGGTGACAGAAATAGCAACGGCATGAACTCTACTAATCGTCAGTTGAATCTTTGAAGTCGTTCAAGACTGTGCTAAAGACATACTCTTTTGTTCGTCGATCTTGTTGAAACCTGGCGATATTGGTGCGTAACTTGTCCATCTCCGTAGCTGACTCGTGAACAATAGCATTCATACGCTCATCTCGCCCCTTCTTCAACTGTCATCAAAATATTTAGAGAATATAATCTTGTAGAACAGGAAATTGTGAAATCTCACCTGCAAAAGGCGACCCTGAGCTTTTGCAGCGAAATTGGGATTGTCGTCCTCATTGCTTGAATAATTGGATTCGTCGCTTGCAGCCATGGTTGAGATAATTCGCAGCTAAATAAATGCAAGAACCAATATCGTAAAGCTGAAATTCTTCAGTTGTGCCAAAGGAGTTATTGGAATTTCGTACGAGCAAAACTTTCTTGGTACCTCGGGTACCTTAAGTCAACTGGTATCGCGAAGTGGTAGAAGGAAGGAGCGGACTTGCCTTCAACCACCCATTTTCCAAGGTCAAGCACTGATGAGAACACATACAACACAATGACAAGAACTTAATTAATCACCACGCATAAATTATAGGATTCACCATGCTCTATAAAATGCAGTACTTTTGGCAGATCCAGAACCCATTTTGGTATTTTCATACAACCCAAGGCAGATGCTGCTGGGGGGATATCTCACTCTATCGGGTCAAAGCAATGTCATCTATCCTCAGAATCATCTTGACTGTCTCAGCCGCCAGCTCGATCGCGCTTGTGCTAACAAGAAGAGGCTGCAACACATTCTCCTTGGAAATATTGGTGTTGACTCCTCCAGACTTGATACTGACTCCTGCATTCTTCTCACCCATCTCGTGTCGGTGTCGTAGCTCCGTCACCACCTTGATACTGTTGAGGCCGGCGTTCTCGGCCAGTGTGGTGGGAATCACCTCGAGAGCATCCGCAAAGGCCTTCCAGCAGATGGCCTCGGTGCCTGTCAAGCTGCGCGCTTGCTTGGACAGCTGTGCGGCGATTTCAATCTCAGGAGCACCACCACCGGCGATGAGAGCCTTCTTCTTGACCAGACATCGTACCACACAAAGAGCATCGTGCAGACTTCGCTCAGCCTCCTCAAGGATCAGAGAGTTGGCGCCTCGTACGACCACGGAAACGGTCTTGCCGACGGATTTGGTGCCGGTCACCTTGACCATGCGCGATCCAGAAGACTGAACCTCCTCAACCAGGTCCGCATAGCCCAGCTTGTCCTCGGTGAAAGAATCAATATCAGCGATGGGTTTACAGCCAGTTGACTTGCAGATGAATTCGACCTCATCGCGCTCGATGTCCTTAACAGCAAGGATGCCAAGCTTAGCCAGGAAGTGTAGTGATAGATCATTGACGGCATCTCGCAGGATAGACTTCTGAATGAACAGAACGTTACACTTCGCCTTCTTGATCTTTTTGGCCATGTTCAGGAGGTATAACCGCTCCTCCTTGACGATCTTGTCCATTTGTCGGTAGTCGTTGACCTGAATAGTATTCTCCATCTACAAAAAGTTAGTAAAAGATTTCTCATACGACAGAAAGGACATACATCAGGCTTAGGGGGGCTCAGCTGGAATTGGATAAGACCAATTCGAGCCTTCTCCATGCGGGCTGGACCACCAGCGTTCTTGAGCACAGGCTGGGTAAGGACGAGGCCATCAACAAGTTCGCTATCTTCAATCGTTCCACCAACTCGCTTGACAATTCGAATGTTCTTGAGATCGACGTTATCGGCGGTCTTCAGGTCGATAGTCTTGGTCACTGAGTTCACCGCCATTGGTCCAAGCAAATTCGAATATTGGGAGACAATCTTGGACGACAGGGAGGTGTTGGCAGCTTGCAGTAACGAGGAAGTATCGCTCAGAGTGATTGGGAGGGACATATCGTGTAGAACCTCGACGGCAGCAGCGGCAGCTCGTTGGAAAGACTCGGAGATGACGGAAGGGTGGATGCCCTTGGAGAGAAGTCGGTCGGCAGCACCAAGAAGACTTCCGCAGATAACGACAACAGACGTTGTACCGTCACCAGCTTCAACATCCTGAGCACCAGAAAGGTTGACAAGCATCTTTGCTGTGGGATGCATGACAGACATGCTCTTGAGCATAGTATTTCCATCGTTTGTGATAATGGTCTCGCCCTTTCCACCTCGAATCATCTTGTCCATTCCTCGGGGGCCGAGAGAAGTTCTGATAGCGTCCGCGACAGCTGTTCAACCGTTAATATTTGAGAATCTTGTTGTTGCACTAAAAGCGCCATACCTCTAGCGGCGACAATGTTTGAGGAGCGCACCGCCATGGGCTTCTCCTTATCCTGTCTAGAGTCAGCGGGGTGAAGCTCAAAAGCTTGTCTGGAGCTCTTCATACTCGGAAAGTAGCATTGCTAGAGCCTCCCGCTGTAGGGGCTGGAGCTGCGACCGGGGCAGACATATTTTGATAATAATTTGGCGGTCCCTAGATCCTCAAAGTAAAGAAGTGATGTTGATGGCGGGGCTTTGTAGGAACACGACTGGACTTATTGGAGATGTCCCACCTCCCCTAGGCTGCCCTACTCCGCCATAGAATTGTCAACCTAGAAATTTTGGATCGGGGGTACAGATCATCCAGCTCCGAGGGGCTCCTTGAGCTAACTCTGAACGTTCTAGCGTGCTTTTGGCTCCAGAGGCACTATTACGTGGGTCCGTGCTCCAAGCTCGCTCAAGGCAACTCACAGATTACGGAAGGCATTCGGTGACACCTCCAACCCCAAACAAACGACTACAGCAGCGACGATTCGACTCTCTTCGAACATAGATTACCCACCAGCACCTTCGTAATCACTGAACTCTTACATCAAAAACCCGCAACACTATTATACGATTGGAGAGCTGCGGTCCTCATCATGGTCAGTCTTGTTGCGTTCATGCAAGCTTAACTGTGTCCTATCCCATACTGACAGCCAGCAACCAGCCTTCCGCAACCGGCTCCAACTGGGAAAAGTACCAGAAGAACTTCGCCGACGATGAGATAGAAGAGAAGAAGATTACACCTCTAACAGACGAGTGCGAATATCCTCCTGGAGATGAGAATGCGACTAGTTGGCTAACACCAGCACCAGGGATATCCAGGTTCTCAAGACCTACGGTGCTGCGCCTTATGGTACATCTATCAAGAAGCTCGAGAAGCAGATCAAGGAGAAGCAACAAAGTGTCGATGAGAAGATCGGCGTCAAGGTTGGGCGGAATATCTGCGAATGTATGACAGACTTCTAACATGAATAGGAATCCGACACAGGGCTCGCACCTCCCCATCTATGGGACGTCGCCGCCGACCGTCAGCGAATGTCTGAAGAGCAACCTTTCCAGGTGGCACGTTGCACAAAAATCATAGCTGACGAGAAGGGCGATGAGGCCAAGAGCAAATATGTGATTAACGTCAAGCAAATCGCAAAGTTCGTTGTCCAGCTTGGAGAGCGCGTCAGTCCTACCGATATAGAAGAAGGCATGCGCGTGGGTGTCGACAGGAACAAGTACCAAATTATGCTTCCCCTACCGCCCAAAATCGATGCGAGCGTTACGATGATGACAGTGGAGGAGAAGCCCGATGTCACCTACGGCGATGTTGGTGGTTGCAAGGAGCAGGTCGAGAAGCTACGAGAAGTTGTCGAAATGCCTCTACTGTCCCCTGAGCGTTTCGTCAACCTCGGTATTGATCCCCCCAAGGGTGCCCTACTCTACGGTCCTCCTGGAACCGGAAAGACCCTCTGTGCCCGAGCTGTTGCCAATCGAACAGACGCCACCTTTATCCGAGTTATTGGTAGTGAGCTCGTTCAGAAATATGTCGGTGAGGGCGCAAGGATGGTTCGAGAGCTGTTCGAGATGGCCCGTACAAAGAAGGCATGCATCATTTTCTTTGACGAGATTGACGCCATCGGTGGTGCTCGATTTGATGATGGTGCTGGTGGAGACAATGAGGTTCAGCGAACTATGCTGGAGCTTATTACGCAGCTCGACGGTTTTGACGCTCGAGGAAACATCAAGGTCATGTTTGCCACCAACAGACCCTCTACATTGGACCCTGCCCTGATGCGACCTGGTCGTATCGATCGAAAGATCGAGTTCTCCCTGCCCGACCTTGAGGGTCGTGCTAACATTCTTCGCATCCACGCTAAATCCATGTCGGTTGAGCGGGATATCCGCTGGGAGCTCATCTCTCGTCTCTGCCCCAACGCAACGGGTGCCGAGCTGCGCAGTGTTTGCACTGAGGCCGGCATGTATGCCATCCGCGCAAGGAGAAAGGTTGCATCTGAAAAAGACTTCCTCAGTGCAGTTGACAAAGTCATCAAGGGTAACCTCAAGTTCAATTCGACGGCGACGTATATGCAGTACAACTAGACATACTCACCATAGGGCACGGTGTATTTTAATGCGGTGTATGAATACAGGGCAATTGGATGGCGGGAATATAGACGTCACAATGAACAAATTGCTTTTACCAACATGCCCAACAGTGAATTACATGAATGACTTATTTTGTGATGTTCCCCATGCCATATTGATATCTGCAGAATCTATCTACTGTGAAATTACTCCCATGGTCCATTTGCAATCCGAATGCCACAAAACAAGACCATCAAGGTCCTGAAAACCGAAACACCGTTCCCGCGATATGCCCGTAAACGCTAACGTACTATATGAGCCCATTTCCGTGCCATCCAAAAGAGCAGATCCTGCGCTCAAAATACCCTGCAGAACTACCTTACCTGAGGCAGATGTGTGTGCCCAGCTTAAGCCCGAGAAAACCATCATTATTCGTCCACAAACACCCATAATGCCATACATGTTCCGACTTATGAGCCTTCCATCCGGGAGAAGCAACCCAAGCATGCGACGTCTCCTTCTGCTCCACGCTCAATACTGCACCGACTGCACACAACAGCCCGGTGTCCAACAGCGTTCCATCCTTTGTCTATTTTTCGTGTTCCGCTCTTCGTATTGTTCTGTTGTTGTTCTTGTCTGTCATCAACATCGTCCATATGGAATGACTTTGAAAGTACTTCTTGCTCCGAGACACCAGAGCCAGCATCCAGATTCCAGCCATGACATTCTCGAATACAAATGAAGCAAGTACGCTCGCCACATCCCTCACAATCGGCAAAGGAGTCGAGATCGGATCTCTTGGTTGGTTTGCGGTGGCAGATGTTGCAGGGAGCAAGCAGAGCGCCTGTCACTTGAGGCTTGGCAAAGGCGGGCTGAACCGGCAGCATCTTAAGTTGCGATGAGCGCCGTCGGCGGTGAGGTGTGTTGAAAGGGAAGCTAGAAGCGTTGACGGCGTCTGTAACGTGAATATCGTCGCCGGTAATACGGGTTCGCTTAGAAAGTGGAAGGACCTTTCGTAAGGCTAGCCCCGGCCGTTGGTCAAAGATATAGTAGTCCTTGGCTTCCTCTGAAGGGTATGAAGTCAATCTGGACCGCTCGTCGTCATCGCTCCATCGTCGCTTACGTCCTGTGTGGACGTCTTCTCCAACAAAGGGCATTATGGTGTGGTCCTTGCCAATTCTTATGAGGCACGCACGGCGAGGCAAAATCGAGTATGGCAGCGAAACCGGTGCAGAAAAGATTTGACGCGAAAGAAAACGCTGTCAAGGTATCCCGGTGGCGTGAAAAGAAGGCGAACAAGACAACAATCGAGTATGAGGGCGTGGAGGTGAGAGGAGGAGATTGAGAACCGAATAGGATTGAAGGGGAGTGGTTAAGAGGAGCAACAGTGACTGGTCAACTACCTAAAGACGGCACCTGCTGCAACCTACTTAGTGAAAAGTGGTTCCTGTTTGGAGAATGGAGTGGAGGTTGAATGTTATAGCACTAGCTGATTATCGTCCAATGACAAGGATGGACGCACGTACCAACCTTGGACGTTAGTGAATAAACCGCTGGAGCCATTCACGCATTTATGGATGGCAGCATATTGGATTTTGTTTCCGCGGCATGTCATAAATACGTGCTAAGTTAAAGCATAGAAGTCAGGTTACAATCAGGGATAGCCAATGTGATAGTTCTATCTCTTAAGCCAGTAGCAATACTTAAAGTCCCTCACTGAGAGACGTTTCAATGTATCCTGATAAGTCCGAGACACGACCACCCAGCTATCACTCGTCATTAGTTCTGTGTTGGTAATAGTATATTAGTCGAGTGTCTTGATGGAATCCGTCCTGCATATAATACCTAGTATGATACATAAGTTTTGGAGGGTTTGAAAGGTACCGCCATAGTAAACTTAAACCAAGGCTTTTGATAAAAATTCATTGAACTCGGTTATTCAAATCAGGACATGAGCATCATATCAACCATCAAGGTTTGCCAAGGTAGCGGTCATGAGTACAGAAAGCTTCACATTTCTACCACCAATCACTCCTGCATATTTCCCAGTGTAGTTTGTCGAATAAGGTATTGAAAACGATTCATCTGATTTACACTCTAACATCCACCTTTCCTTCCACGACCAGGCTTCTTTTCTACCCGCCACCGCCGACAAAGGAGCTGCTCTAGGGGCGACTAGTATACAAATGAGACTTTGAGATGTTGCCCGTTTAGCGGCGGACCTTGACCTCCTTAGGGGGGTCGTAGGCGATCTTTCGAGACTTCAGCCAAGCCCACTTGTATCGCTTAACCCAGACACTGACAGCCCACAGAGAGGCAGAGACGACAAGAACCTTCATACCCATTCGCTTTCGGTCGTCCATCTCGGGCTCGGCAGCCCAGTTGAGGAACTCGACAACATCCTTGGCCATCTGAGAGGTGGTGGCGGGGGTGCCATCCTCGTACTCGACGAGGCCGTCGTAAAGGACACGAGCCATGGCGATACCGGTACCGGGGAAGTAAGGGTTGAAGTTCATGCCGGGAGCGACCTGAACACCAGCAGGGGGCTCTTCAGGGTAACCGGTGAGCAAGCTGAAGATGTAGTCACAGCCACCGTGACGGGCCTTGATGATAAGAGACAGATCCGGGGGGAGAGCACCGTTGTTGGCAAATCGAGCAGCCTCCTCGTTCTTGTAAGGAGGAAGCATGTAATCGGCCAGCTTTCCGGGACGCATCTGGATCTCGCCCTGCTCATCGGGCTCACCGGGGTACTCGTTCTCCTCGGCAAGGGCCTTGGCCTCGTCAACGGTCAAGACGGAACCAACAAGAGTTCGGTAGGGGATTCGGCTGAGGGAGTGGCAGGACTGGCAGACCTCCTGATAAACCTGGAAACCACGGCGGAGACTACGAGGGGGTCAGTAATTCGGCATGGCGTATTCAACAGGGTCGGTGGCATCTTACGCCTGGTGGTCGAAGGTCTTGAACCACTTGTTGTGAACCCAAGGGTACTTGGTAGCGTGAAGACTATATTGGTACTGTTAGCAATTGGTGATGCAATAACAGTGCGGATCATCGATAGCCAGCATTTATGCCTCATCACCCGAATTGGGATGATGTAGAAACACAATAATCGAGAACCGAAAGTATCACGTACCCCTCTTCAGCGGGAGTCATGGCAAAGGCGACAGGTCCATAAAGGTGATAGTACCAGGCCATGGAGCCGAGGGCGAGGGTAGTCGAGGCGGCGGCAGCCAGGTTCAATCGAGTGGCAGAGGCATCGCTGGCGGCGCTGGAGCTCGAGGAAGCGGCACGCTGGGAAGAAAATGGGGTCAGCAATCGTGTACATGCAATTGAGGCGCATTCTGTTGCGATTGGCGTGGTTGCGGTGTGTCGAGGTTCGTGGTGATGATCACTCGGCAAACGGGAAGCTCGTTGGCAGAGGTGGTAGGATCGTGCCATACCTTGGTGACAGCAGAAGGGCCGTTCCGGAGTCCATTGAAGGTGCGCGTCGAGCGCAAACACGACCTGGCAAGCATTATGGGCGAGCTATACCGTCGCTGGTGCGATCGAATATGAGACGGCGAGATGGGGAGGTCGTTCTCGGAGTCGGAGGACAAAAGGGCTCAAGCAGAGATCATTAGCAGCATCAGACAAAATCCTATCGAGCGTTCCAATAAGCCGGCTCTGATTGGATGCGGGTCGGATCAGGGTCACGTGTTTGACCACTCTCGCCTTGCTCGGCTGAGCGGCCAGGTGACTTTCCGCTCCGCTGTGAGTCTTCCAAATTTTTCCGATTCCCGGGTTAAAGTCGGGTTCGTTCTGATGATCCAACTGACAAGATATTTGCATAGGACAGTGGAAACACTTTCGGGAACTTCATAGGTAATAAGGTATTTATTATTAGCTACTGCAATTATAACTACAGAGACCTTGCGAAAATGAGTCATAACCATTTCTATAATGTTTCAGTTCATCAAGCCATCTTCAAGTGATCGAATGAGTCGAGTGACACCTCTATATTCCTGTCTGTTCATGCTCACTCACTGACGAACCGGTACGAGAAGCCTAGCTCAGCTGCCCATGGCAATAGGAAATTACATAAAAAAGTGAGGAAATGCTCTAAGCCTGATCAAGAAGCCTAACTACCGCCTATTTCTGCCTGCTACCCCACCCCCACCTTGACTCAATTCATCTTCACACCAAACAGCGGCGACACTCTTTTGATTTCATTAAACCGACTTTTCCTTTTAGACTTGGTCGTCACCATCTTTGCTGTTTAATCCTGAGCGATTTCCTCTTTTCTCACTTTCTTATAGAATGACTTCTTCCGATAAGATCTTTTCCCTCGAAGGAAAGGGCCTCAAGCTCGACACTGCTGAGGATCTCGAGCCTCATATTGCCCCTCTTCGATCCGCAGACGTCGAAGAAGTTCGTATTTTGGGTAACACTCTTGGTGTTGGCGCCTGTAGGCTTCTTGGTGAGGTTCTTGCGACCAAGAAGAACCTGAGAGTACGTAAAATATCCCTTTTCCCTGGCTGCTGTAACATACCAACACACAACTCTCCAGGTCGCAAACTTCGCCGATATCTTCACCGGCCGACTCCTGAGCGAGATCCCTGACGCTATCTCTTCGCTACTCACCTCCGTCCTCAACCTTCCCAAGCTCAACACTATCAACTTGAACGACAATGCCTTTGGTTTGAACGTTCAAGCGCCTCTCGTGGCCTTCCTAGCCGCCCACGTGCCGCTGCAGCACCTTTACCTGAACAACAATGGCATGGGCCCTCACGCCGGTATCCTCATCGCCGATGCGCTCTCGGAGCTTCACGCCAAGAAGGAGGCTGCGCGAAAGGAAGGAAAGGAAGTTCCCGATCTTGAGACTGTTATTTGCGGCCGAAACCGATTGGAGAATGGAAGTATGACCGCGTGGGCAAAGGCCTACAAGCTGCACAACAAGATCAAAGTGATCAAGATGGTTCAGAACGGTATTCGACAAGAAGGTATCTCCCACCTTCTCGCCGAGGGTCTCAGTCACGCTTCCAAACTCGAAGTCCTCGACCTGCAGGACAACACTTTCACCGTCACTGGGGCCCGGGCCCTGTCAAAGGTTGTTGCCAACTGGACCTCACTCCAGGAGCTAGGAGTTGGTGACTCCCTACTTGGTGCCAAGGGTGGTGTCCTCGTGGCAGATGCTCTGGCTAAGGGCAAGAATGTTAAGCTCGAGACCCTGCGCCTACAATACAACGAAATCACCTCCAAGGGTATCAAGGCCTTCGCAACTGCAGCCAAGGATGGTCTTCCCGCTTTGAAGCGAATTGAAATCAACGGCAACATTCTCACTGAGGATGACGAGTCGATTCCCGTCCTTCAAGAGCTTCTCGAGGAGCGCAAGGAGAAGTTCGGTGGTGATATTGTCAACGAGGATGAGTGGGGTGTTGACGAGCTGGAGGACCTCGAGGAGCCAGATAGTGAAGTGGAGGAAGAGGAAGAGGAGGAAGAGGAAATTGAGCCTGAGGACCGAGCCGAGAAGCTGATCAAGGAGGCCGAGGAGGCTCAAGAGGAACCTGTTATCCCTGTCAAGGACAAGGAGGTGGATGAGTTGGCAAAGAAGCTCGAGAAGACTGGAATTTAGACATGGATATAGATGAACTGCATGATGATGACCATTCACTTCGCAAGGCTTAAATGGAATTTGATACCCCTTTTACAATGACTTGGACAGCAATAAAGATATGAACGTGACTTGATACTTAAATCAAGAGTTTTGGGAAGTCAAAAACATGCAGTGGCTTTTAAGGAAGCTTCTGTATTGATTCTAGATAGATACATAGTGGGTGAGTGTCTGGCTTGGTACATACTGCCAGGAAGCATATATCGAATATCACGGTCAGGGAATACATTGAGTGAGTAGCGGCTCCGGAAAGCAGGTGTTGAAAGGGACAACGTACCTATGGCAAACCAAACTGCTGCCATTGTGCTCTCTCTAGGTAGAACTTGTTGTTAGCACACATTGCAAGTAATCAACGAGGGCGATACAGGAAGAGGGAGTAAAGTGGTTTGCAAAAATGAAGGTTCCACCAACGCCCTATCCACTCCCTTTGGAAGCCAGTATCTCGTGATAAACTCATTCACCACCCTGGTAACCATACTAAGTAACAAGATCCATACAATGACTGCCAGTCCATGCCTCAAGCAATAAATCCCTTTCCTGTACGCTCATTGGCGTATAACTTGTCCACCTTACATGATATCCCATCTCCCTCCCGAGCTTCTATGTAGATTGACCGTTGAACATCTGGCCATACCATTCTGCTGCTCGGTTTGGACAAACGGTGGTTATTTACATAACATCCATAGTGTCCACCTCCGGCGCTCGGAACCCCTGGTAAGCACCGTATTGTGTTGCCATCTCCAGGAACTGCTGTTCACGAGCGTAGTCGGGGCCCATGTAGACAGGGTCTGTGGCATGTGAGTAGAGACCGTAGGTACTCCTGGGCTGGCTGTCCCGGGCCTCTCGTTCACGCTCTCTTCGCATTAACTCCTCGTAGCCAGAAGTCATGTATGGTTCCACCTCAGGCTCTGAGTTGCGAACCCACCTACCGTCAACTGCCTGAACTTGGGTACCATCCAGACTCATGACTTGTTGTTGCTGGTTCAGTCGTTCGTAACGCAAGCGGGCAAGTTGCTCCTCGTGTTCTACAGTAGTGCTACTCCAGGCGAGAGCTGGGATATCGCCGCCGTTTCCGGGAGGGCAAATGTTCCAAAGCTCAATAAGTCTCTCTTGCTGAGAAGGTTCGGCAACTTTGAACAGCTGGAGTTGTGAAGGCGTAAGAGTAGCTGGATTGACGCCATGGTGTTGCAGTATAGCGTCGACACTGGGTCCTTGGGTCTGGGGTGGCTCTGAAGCACGACGCGGAACCTCTTGGTTTTGAGCTGCTTGAGATATGTGTGCAGAGTGGGTGTAGTGAATTGAAGTATAGATGATGGGCTCAGCAAGGTCGGCCTTCGGCTCTTGTTGAGGTGCAGGGGCAGGCTCGGGAATTGGGTTGAAGCTGAGGTTACGGGCCAGGAGAGTAGCAAGCTCATCTTGTTGCATGTTGGACTGAGAAAAGGCCATGGTTGGTTCTTTTATTTCTAAGAGTTGTTAGCAGTTGATGCATAATATTGAGTTTAAGGGTAGTTGCTGAATACCAACTTTGGTGCGGAGATATATATCAGCAGGAGGGGCACGAGAAGTTGCTGCTTTAAGGTCTGATATCAGAATACAGAGATGATATCTGTAGCTCTCGGGGTCGTCTGCCTATTTCAAGTCGATGTCCTCGAAAGAAACCTTGGTTGAGATAGCAAGGAATGCGAAATGAAGCGATATACGGAGGCGTTTCGGGGTCATGCGCAATGCAGGTGAAGACAGGAACAGGCGGAAGCCCTTGTTCTTTGTTATATTTGGAAGCTAAGCTAAGCTTTTTGACAAGTAGTCAAAGAAAGCAGACAGGTCAATAGAGAAAGAAAAGAGATATGTATAACAAAAAGTTGGGTCAAGAAAGAGAGGTTCGTCTCTTGTTCTTTGGCTCAAAAGACCCTTGATTAGGCCTTGACTTGGAGGGGCTTGTCTAAGAGCGGTGGACCGTTGGGTCGAGTTGCAGGGAGCGCACGGGGGTAGGGAAGTGAGTTGTGAGTGGGGAGACAAGAACGCCTGAGACGATCTTTTGGAGGTTGTTTATGCAGATATCAAGTAAGATAAGGAGACTTGAAAGTGTAACGGCGTTCTATGCAGTTTGTTCAAGTCGAAATTAAGGCGAGCGTTGTTAATGTGAAGAATCAAGACCGTCTTCAAGAGTGAAGCGCGGGGGATATTCCTGTCCAAAAAATACATGGAGGGGTACTCAATAATGAATGAATTCAATGGAACGTGGGACAGTTCAGTGGGACACACACCTGCCAATTCATCTGCTCAGGCACTCTTCCCAGGCCATGACGCAGTAAAGACACAACTAACAGAGGCACATGATGGGCCTTATGACAACATCCACTTCCATTCACCACCGGCACTAAACTCAACGCTTTTATGATATGCATCATTTGTGTATTGATCTTCGCTCCCAGGCAATATTGCTCTCAGATGTCTATGCTGATACCGATACTTCATTCACTGGCCTCATTCACGCCTTCACAGAAGGATTCACACTCTTCCAACTTCAAGAGCTTCAACCCCTGGTCTTATTGACCTTGTGCGACCCAATAAGCCTGTGCCACAAGGCGACCGTAACACACTAATTGCTGTCCTATGCTCTAGCTTAACGCCGACATGGTTGTCTGTTTCATCTGCATTCCGTTTCCGAATCATCTCCTTTGACGTGGTTCACTGAGTTCCGCCACGTTCTCAATCATTTTAGGTCGTGCATGTCATTATATGATTCAAATACAGGCAGCATGAAATGGGAATCTCGGGGTCTTTCACTGCCCTAATCAGCTGCCCTTAGGCTCCAACAAACATGAGACTCACCGCCAGCAACAAAGCAGTCATGCCTAGGTTTTATAGTGGTATTTTGTGGTCCTCAAGTGTTGACGCTATGGGGTCTTACCTGCCTAGTAGGTAGTAAGAGACATGCGAACTTGACGGCGTGCTCGACTTGGGCCTCGATGTTAGGCTGGTCTCACTTTCTACCTTAGTCTTTCAAAGCGTCAAAGTTATGGGGGCAGAAACCATATGAGGTATTAAAAAGTATCCATGATTTTATGTATATGGCTATTAGAGGAATCTCGTAAAAGAAATATCATTCTGTGATATAGCATCATGTTATGTCGATTCAGTCCCGAGACTTAGACTAAAAGCTAAACCCCTCCACTGTATGTATGGGATCCATGGGTGTTTGAGGCGCAGTTCTAGACTCCAAATCCATAAAGGTCTCCTCCTGCAGGGGAGATCGATTCACACGGGAAGAGCTAAAGGGATCCGCCACTCCCGCTTCCACAGCCACGTGCGGGCCACTCCTCTCAAGGCTGAGCTGAAATGTGGCGTACAGACTGTGGCGCTTGGTTGTGGCACAAATACTTCACACCTCAGGCATCAACTCTCCAGCCTTGCAGTGTACCTACCGCCGTGAACTGCAACACGCAGCTCCAGGCTGCCTAGGTGAAGGAAGCTCCAAGCCAACGCCATCGCAAACATCTCAACGACACAGCTCCTCTCCACCTCACCAATTCTCACCTCGTCTTCTCTTGCCTTTCGGATCACACTATTTCACTTGGTTAGGGAATTCAGACATCATGGTAAGCTAACCATACACTCGCTCAAACCTGATCGTCGTCATCGAGGGACAGCTTCAAGTGCTGACCTAGCTTGTCTTTCACACTATAGACGTCGATAGGCACGGGTTACGATCTGCTCAACTCCATCTTCTCCCCTGATGGACGCAACTTCCAGGTCGAATACGCAGTCAAGGCAGTAGAGAATGGCGGTACCTCGATCGGTATTCGAGCTAAGGACGGTGTTGTCCTAGCTATCGAGAAGGTCGTTTCATCCAAGCTCCTAAAACCCGGTGCCAACAAGCGCATTGCAACTATCGATAGCCATGTCGGAGCTGTATGTTGACCTACCTGCAATGTCTAGCATGAGCTCGTACTAATCTCACTAGGTATCTTCTGGTATGGTCCCTGATGGACGCCACTTCGTCGATCGCGCTCGCGACGAGGCCCAGAGCTGGCGACAGAACTTCAAGACCCCCATCCCAACATCCGATCTTGCCAGCCGCATGGGTGGCTACCTTCAGGCCTACACCATGTACGGATCAGTTCGACCATTTGGCATCACCGCCATCGTGGGCGGCTACGACACTCCCGAAGAGACTCCCGTCGATGGGGAGGTTGGCTCAGGACCCAAAGTTGGCGCTGGCGGCAAAGTTGAGGGCAAGCACGGCGGTCCTTTCCTCTACATGATCGAGCCCAGCGGTATGTACTGGGGTTACTACGGAGCGGCTACAGGCAAGGGTCGACAGGCCGCCAAGGCCGAGCTGGAGAAGCTTGACCTGCCCGCTGGTAATATTACTCTGGAGGAGGCTGTGAAGCAGGCTGCGCGCATAATCTACATTGCGCAGAAGGATAACAAGGATAAGGATTTCGAGCTGGAGATGACCTGGATCAGTGGGCCTGACGGTCCTACCAAGGGACGACATGTTGAGGTGCCAAAGGGGCTACGGGAAGAGGCTGAGCGATTAGCAAAGGCCGAGGACGAGGATGATGATGATGATGACGACGACGAAGATGAAGATGCAAAGGATGACAAGATGGAGGATTAGGCGACTTGTGTCAGGAAAAATCAAGGCAACTGTACTATCACGATGACGAGTTCATAGAATTTAATGGTTCATCTGCAGGCATCCGAATTACTTCCAGGGTGCCTAGTTTCGATTCGTGCCATCTGTCCGTGGAAGAATTATGTCTATTAGGGTATCAGTTCCGAACTTGCTGTATTGCATTTCGGTACCAGTTTTGCCAGTCATCAAAGAAGGACGACTGCAACTTCGCCTCGCCAGAAAGGCAGCTCTCTTGTGTCTTGCTATACACGGCAAGAACATCCTTTGTCTTGCTCTTGTCCGCAGCGACGAGGGCCGACACAAGGATGAGACTCGCCGTACTGGCCGCTTTTGCGTAAGCATGCGAGTCATCCTGCCCAGCAGCCTTATGAATCTCGCGCAATAAGTCTAGCATGTCATCAGGTTCAAGGATCTGGACCTCTTGGCGGTTACTGCGGGCCTTCTTCAGGCCCTTTTGGTAGTTAGAAATGATTTTGCTCGCACGGGCAGCAAGGGGTTTTGTGCTGGTTGTGCGCATAAGATCGAGGAGGGGTAAGAGAAGAGTAAATGAGAGAGGGTTGCGAGACTCATTGCGAATGTAGATGTCGAGAAAATCAAGAATCCGGTTCTTGAAATTGAGGACTGACTGCTTGGCCTCCTTCTTCTGCTTTTTGGAGTCATTCGAGCGGTCTTGGATGCGTGGCTTGATGGCTGCTGCGAGCTGCTTGTCGATGGCGAACATTTCAGAGTCAGACATATCACCCTCGGACTCTGATGATTCGGCATTGACGTCCTTGTCCAGACGGTGGCTCTTGAGGATCTTCTCGAGTTCATTGTCCAGATCTTCAGGCCTGTCGAATTCGCCTTTGCTTTTATCTCCATCTTCGTCCTCAGCATCTTCTTCTTCCCCACTTTCTTCGTTCGCCTCCTTGATATCAATAAACTCGACATCAGAATCGATTTCGATATCCGAATTATCCTCCTCATCAGCATCTTTTCCTTCTTCGTCCTCGTCCTCGTCTTCATCGACCTCCATCTCATCTTCCCCGGTGCTGAACAATTCCTTTTGGCCTTTCGTATTCTCTCCAGATGTGAGGGGACCGGTCAAGAGCTCTAGACCTGCAGCTGAGATCTGTGGTGTGAAGGCACCAAACACTTGCTGCGTAACTTGTCTCATGAGAGATGAAGGTCGCACAACCATTGACAATAAGATCTCAAGGATAATCTCTGATGTGCCAGCCTCGGTCTCTGCGGACTTGCCCTTTTTAAGGCGGTCGGAACATTGGGCAAGGTCGTTGAGAACCTCCATAGCATCGGGGTCCTCGTTGTAGAGTCGGAAGATAGACACGGCGTGTAACATCGCGATACTCTGAAAAAGACTCTTCTCGCTTTCGTCTACCGCCTTGCGCCTGAGTAGCTTTTGCATCCTCAACAACGCCTCCTGGACAGCTGTCTTGATCTCTTCGGTCATTGCCACCGAGTCGGGGTCAATGGATGACACAGCAAGACATAGTGAGCCGTAATCCTCTGTTCTTCGGCTGACCTTAGCGAATGACGACTCAAGACGAGTTCGGCAGAGCTCGCGAACACCTTCTGTGAGTGTATCTGCCGGTATGTTCTTGGGTTGAGAGTATGCCAGCTGAGAGAGTTCTTGGAGGGCAGCTGAGAAGACAGTCTCTTGGAACTCTCCCGATGTAGGCGAGGCTGAAGCATTGAGAATTTTTGAAAGATAGTCAACGTAAACTCGGAGTGTGGATGAAGCCTTCTTTGTGTCTTGTTTAGCAATCGTGCCAAGGGGGGATCGGATGATCTTCAATATCTCTTCGCCAGTCTCTCCTGATACGTTCTGCAAAATTTGGTCGACAGTTTTGGTATTTGTTCTTTGGTCAAAGTTATAGGCTCCGTTCTCGCCTAGTAGACCCTTGAGAATGGGTATGATTGTCGACGGGTGCGCTGAGGTCGTTGACTCAATTGCTTTGAGGGCCTTGGTCGCTGCTCGGTGGAGATATCTATCCTCTTTTGAAGCTTGGTTCATGAGGCAAAGGGTGAGATTCTTGCTGAAGAGAGCCTCGACATGAGCAGGAAAGTCAAACAGGCCCTCGAGCATCTTTCGAAACACCAGGAATCCCCTGAATTTCTGGCCTTCCGTGGCACGTTTAGAAAAAAGAGAGTCTAGCAGACGTCAGTAACGAATGTTTAAGGGTTTCATGAGACTCACCATCTACTACACGAATCCAGAACTGCTTGAAATCTTCAAGTCCAGCTTCTCCTTTCTCGACAAAGTGTTCCAAGAGGATACTCCACACGTAGTGCAGTTGAGGAGACCAGCCCGGAAAATTAATCTGCTGACCAGGCTCTGACTGATCAGCGAGAGCATCCTTGAAACTTTCTCGCAGAATTGCAGCGAGATCACCAAAAGTGTTCTTGTGGAGAGGCACCGGCCAAGGCTTGATGCTGAGACCAGGGAATCGAGTCTGCGCAGCGATCCAGATTGCTACTCCTTCGGGTGTCTTGGCCAAATTGGCCTCGGCGACCTTCTTCAGTGTAACCTCAGCTTGCTTCTTGTTCAGCTGCTCGATGGACTGTACAATAACCCAACCACATTGTGGTCGAAGCCACACCTTCCTGATAGAAAGATCCAGAATTAGGTTAAGAACCGCGTTCCATCGGGAGATATCGCTGCTGAACAAGATCCCAGATCTAACGAAAGCGAAAATTCCGAACAACCGCCCGAAAACGAAGTCCCTCTCCTCCTGCCCAGGGATGTTGCCGATGGCTTGTGTGTTCTCAATCAGTATTTCAAGAACCTTCTCAAAGGTGAGTCCCTGGTATCTCGATTCGGCAAGATTCTTCTCTCCGAAGAGCTGTCCGAGGATTTCTGTGAGTACCAGGCTGAAACCAAGGCGCGAGGCATTGCGACCACTTGCGAGTCCGCGAAAGAGGCGACGGTCCAAGTGTCGTTGCAGCACAGCCTCGGAAACATCCTCTGCAAGCAAGCTAGGGACAATACAGTCGGCGGCCTCGATTCGTTCGGTGGGATCCTCACTCCCTAGTAACTCATAAAGGCCAGCCTCTCGTTTCCGTTCGTCGCCAACTGGCGCCTCGACGAAGGGTGCTTTATCGAATGTCGGCTTCGAGTTAGGTCTGACGGAGTCGCTGTCGCTCTTTGTGCGCTTGGGGGTTTTCTGTACGCCATTTGCGCCTTCCTTGGCTCCGCGCTTCCTTTTGCTGCCCATGATTTGCCGCGCCGGATATTTGTTGGTAGGTCTCTATTGCGATCCTGTTGGCGATAGGTGCTTTGTCAAAAAAAAATACAGGTCCCGACAGTTCTGCCAGGTGCGACCGCCAAAAAGTCCCAGCGACCCCACACTGATACAAGTATACAGACAGGACTATTATAGAATTTAATAAAGATACCTTAATGATTTCAATATCAAAATACCAATCTAGCAATACATAAAATGAGGCCAAAGGTGCGCAGTCAAGATAACACATTAAAAGATTATGACAAGTTTAGGGATGTTTATAACAGTACCTAAGTCGTATGGTTAATATACTAAACTTATACGTATGTTTAGTAAGTGGGATGATATCATAATGTTCCGTAATTGGGGCTATGTTTGGAAAGACTCTGCATTCACACATAAAACCCGAATACTGGAACTTGGAACACTCAGATGGACTCGATTCAGAAGATTAGCGGTGATACATGAACATGAATCCGAGATATGTTATTGCTGTCTGCTTTAGAAGGGCATGGTCGGGCAGTTGCGCAAGAATCGTCTCGACCGTTCTGGTTCATATAATAGCTCTAGGTTGGATCTGAGGTAACTTACCTTATATACACATTTCATGAGAAAAAGGATACTCCTATTGTGGCTTCTTGAAAAGCTTTGCTGTACAATTTCCGCTATTCGGACATTTGCTGTGGAGCTCAATGGAACCTGGTATATCAACCGAGACGCAAGCGTCTTCAAATGTCAGAACGCAGCCCCGGTTGAAGGGGCAGAACCAGGTATAAAGCAACGGTTACCGAGTTGACGCAAAATATCGAGAGTCAGCATCCATGTTCCATCCGCAGTTGTGGAAACAAGGTCACGTTTCACTGACAGGTTGCTGAGTTACTGTCGTGATTATAGTACGTATATGCAAGCTTCAATCGAAGCTCGTCCAATATCGTCCGTTGAGTATCTAACCCTTGCATGTTCGCAAATGCTGTCTAATACAGATGTGCTTTTATCAATTCCATACTAAGCTTCATGAGCTTCAGATGCCTGTTCTGAATCCATTGAGTAGCGGATATTACCTAGGCCGTGTGTTCCCTGAGCTGGAAGTTGCTTGACTGTGACCTCGTGCCTGAATAAGCTAAAATTGATGACCACTACGTTGTATCCCAGGTGGACAATGTTTCCAGGCAGAATATGCCCTTAAATGTAGGAAAACATGTGAATTCGCATATTTCTTCATTTATAACGTTACTGTTGTGTGGGTGGAAGCATGAAGCTCAATGTCGTTGTGTTAGGTTCGCCCTGTGCTCATTCAACATGAAGCTCGTTCGTTATACGCCAGTTCCAAGATCCATGCGGTGTCTGCACTGGTACAACGTTTGACCACCTCACAGGATATAGTCTACGCTGTCCTACGGGTAACCACGTTGAGTAGCTGAAGATCCTGCCCATCAGACATATTGCTATGCCCACATCGTATGAAAAAATTGTCTCCGCTTGTGGCTATTCGATACGAAGCTAACGTCTGGTCCCTGAATATCTTGACCCTGAGCTACCCTGTATTTGGAACTTGGCTCACGATGGCTTCACCAACGCTTGGATCTTTTTCAGCAGAAAAATGGATTAATCCACTGAACACTGACCATTGTCATGGGTCGGGCTGATGAGAATGACTCCCGAATTCACGGAGTCATGGCAGGTCGGAGACGGCCGTTTTGTAAACGCTCAGAAATAAGACCTTGTCTGTATACTCCCTTATCCTGAGGAGTGAAGACTCAGTCCAATTGTCCAAGTTACAAAGCTTGGACTTATTTTTCATTTCCGCCTTTCCGTTGTACCCGTGCTTTTGGAAAGCTAAGTTGCGAACGTGTTCACCCACAGTCCGACCTAGAGATGGAGACGCATACCACAGGGGGTTATGAGAAGACTGTGTACAACCGTGATAGTGCAAATTGTCCATGCCAAGCATGGATAATCATGTATAAGTCTGACTAGGATTCACCGATGAAGAAGACACGGGCATGAATTAGAAGATCGAGGCTCCCACTCTCAAGCATAGTGACATGGTGCTGAGTCTTTCAGCCGTTTACGATATAACTAATGATATTAAAGATTCCAATTAAGCATATAAATGCGAACACGGCGATGTCATTGTATGCTACGTAGTATGACAGTGACGTGTGAAAAGCTCGGATGACGGGCCAGGAACTTGGAAGCTATGGTATGCGGAACACTGACATAGCAAGACATATAATATAATGCAATGTCTAAGTCGAAGTCTAGGTCTACAGCCTCACTTCAAGAGCCGGCTTGATGAACTTCCTGGTCCGGGAAATGAGTCTGTTGACTCATAGAAAGGGACTAGAAGGTGCCAAAATGAATGTTGGTCGATGCTCGTACTAGCAACCGTAGCTCAAGCGTAGATCGCCTGAGCAACAATTCAAGGATCAAAGCTGGGGAGAGCTGGAAGGCAAAATGACAAGGACAGGCCAGAGACAGAGTTTTGAAAGACGAAGAAAGTCAGAATATTTTAGTCGAGGCCAAAAAAAGAAAGGAAATGCGACTAAGGGAGAGGAGGCGTCAAAATATGGTAAGCCACCTTTTCTTATGGTGACATGTCGTCGCCGACAGAGAGAAAAAAATAAGATATGGATCGTAGATTTGATGTTTGCTTAGGGCCTCTCTCTTGGCGCCTCAAAATCCCGGGAGCGTGGGTCGGTCCACTAAAGCAGAAAGGGAGCACGAAAAGGAAGGAGACATATTATGGGAGGCTGTGATGAATGAATGTGTCTAAGAAGGGTGTCTACATGTACTGACTTAGTACAATAGCTGCAATTTGATCTCACAGATCACGCCTTTAGCAAACCCATCAATCTTCCAATACCCTCCTAGAATAGTCTTCCTCATCTCGAGTGCCTAGGTTAGCTTTCGGCAAGTATTGCATAATAGCCTTATCTAAGACGGCATCAAAGGCAACAAAACGGTGCGAGATCTTCCACGATCCGTCTCTCTTCTCGAATTAGCCTATATATCAGACCAAGAAAGTAATCCAAGTCTCTTGACCATCGGCCTCGTTGATTGTTATGGCGGTGCAGTATGTCTCAGCATTTGCAGTTATGCCATCCGGTCCGAGTTCGATCAAAGATTAGCCGATTTGATAATGCACAGCACGTATCGAATCACCAGCAGTCATTATATCGTAGAAGTCCTTCGCAGGTCCATTAAACGAGCTATGATTATCAATAGCATCTGGGTGATAAACAGACTGGATAAGATGGCGGATCTTGCGATCTGCGCCACGAACAAATTTGTAGATTACAGAGCGAATCTCATCCTTGTCAACAATAGATTGGAGAGATTGGCTAAGTTTGACGTCCGCCAATGGTGAGGCAATTCTGAAGCTAGAGAACGATTCAAAGCCGAGGAGTAAGTTAGATTGAGTACAATGTTTAGCAAGATATCTGTGAATCTATAAAGTGGCCGGGAGTCTCGGATATCGACCTCATCTAGACTAACTGTTCATGAAGCGAAAGAAAGCTGGAGAGTTGAGATAGCATAGATGCACGTGACGTCGCGTTAGACCCATAGAAAAAGAAGAAAAAGAAGACGCGACACGTTTCCTATTTGTTTACTTTAGAAAGCGGGTGCCAATTATCTCCCTTACCCCACGACGTCCAATGGAACTGGGAACATGGTAATTGCAACTGCGCCGCAGCGAACATTCACAACTCTCTGTGCCCATGTCAATTCTCTAACAGAATTCTGCACGAGGCATCACACCATCACATTAGTGAGGAAACTTACCGTCGAGTTTACCCCTCATTCGACGGTCAGGAGACGCTTTCGCGTTGAAATCCGGCAAGGCTCAGGGATGGTGAGCCTCTGGTAGCGTCGGGAGGGCTTTGAGGAGGGGTGACGTGGTGGAGTTTAAGCCGTGAGTCCATCCCGCATTAGGAGGTGGTAATGGATCCTCAGACGAGCTGGAGAGCTGACGAGCAGCGGACTAACCAACTGATGCGAAGCGATTGGGTCGCTGAGGGCGTCTCTGATAAATTATGGGGTTTTGGCTGCAACTCACCACAACGTGGAACCCGGCTTCTGCAGTGTCATTCGTCTCTGGGGAGATGTCAATTAAGTAAACAATAAAAGATATGGTAAGAAGATACTGTGAAGTATCCGCATAGTTACTAGCCTACGCCGTCGCATGTCGGCCTTTGATGGCTGGTAAGTGGCAGCTAGAGGTGAACTATTGAGAGAACTCAAAGCTTGCGAAGCCACTGCTCTTGGCTCTTCAGAATTTGCTCACCCACGGGCCGCAATGCAAGGGAATGCAAGTTCTTCGATAGCCGTCTTCATTAGGCATGCGCAATGGCCTGCGATGAGGCTCGGCTTAGACAAGCGGCAGTGTGTGCGCACCGTAAACCGGGCCTAAACACGGGTTACCCGTTTGCGCAGTTAATTATTATGCCCAGTATACCAACTCAACTCCGGTGCGATGACGATGTTTTAATAAGAGAAAGACGGTCACGGCCAAGAATGACGTCGAATCTTGAGACGGTGCCATAGGGGAGGATCGGGAATTAAGGTCGTGGATCGACGATAAAGATACCGCGCACTGGGGCCATGTCCTCCTGGCCGGGTCGTCCAAGTTCAAGGTCCCAGAATACCCGAACTCTGGGCACTTACTGATACAGGGAGTTTTGACAGGCACTGGCATACTGGGTGCAAGGCCGAGCAGACGGCTCGTCAATCTGTCAAAGGTCGACCCAATACAGCGAGAGAGGTTAGTGTAGGTCTGCTCGAATTCGTTATAGCATGAAAGGATAAACCTGGTTTTCAGCTGTGTTATTGTTTACTTTGGCCATTGATAATCCCTCGAGAGGCTTTTAGACGCCACTAAACAGGAATATCCCCCGCCCATGAAGTTGAGCGATAACTTGATTGAGACAGCCATGTCGACACTGAAATCGAGATTGGCGATCTTGAATTGATTAAGAAACCTGCCACAG